CCGTCTAATGGGGTGTTACCTGGCGTACAGTCTGCCTCCCCTTGGGGAAGGGGAAATGGGAAAGGAGGGGGGAAGGGTTCTGGCAGATTTATTGCAAGAGAGGAAACATCTCCCTTTCCCTCAATCCTTCTTTTTTTCTGCAGTCCAGCAGCAAACTTGTGTTTAGCAAGATGTATAACATGGCACGTTTTATAACTACAGCAAGACAGAGAGCTGTGCAATTAAATATCCCACAGAGATAAATTAACACTGGACCTTTTGTAGATACTGTTTATCGCGATGCATTGCTTTCTTTTTTTTTTTTTGTAATGTTAACATATCTGATAAGTATCCTTTGATCTTGCAGTGAGATTTCTTTTCCTCCTTAGTATAGTTTGACACTTACTGATCTGACTGCAATAGGTAATTTTCTTTTTATTGAGCTGCTCAAAATTTATTAATAAGCAACACTGATCACAAGTCCTCCCATCTTTAAACTGCTGCTGTAAATTTTGCCAAAATATAGGCATTTTTATTTTGCAGAGTGATTAGGATTCCAATGCGATGCAGTAAAACCTCTCTTCTAAGCAAACCAACTTGTTCTTTGTAGATCCTAGCTGTCTAGAGTCACAAGGAAAATGCTAAAGAGGTTTGGGTGCCTGTTGATGTTTTAAGAGGCAAGAAATGCAGAATTTTTGCTGACTTCATGATCCGTAGAGGATTACAGAAAGCACTTGAAAACTTTGGTGTCAATTTAGTTGCTTTAAAAAGCCAGATGTAAACACAGCAAAACAAGCAGAAAGTAAAGCATCATATTTTTCCTATTTAATGTTCTCTTCCCTTGCTGTTAGTAGGCACTCACTTGCTTAGTAGGAAAAAAAGCAAATGTGACAGTGATTCACAATTTTTAACACCGTTTGTGCCGTACTTTTCTTCTGTTGAAGCATAAGTTTTATCTCTCTACTTTAAAAACCAGTGATGTGAAGGTAGTAGGCTGAGTTTACAGATAATCCATCACATGCACAGCATGCATGCATAGATTGCTTAAAGGATTATTATCAAAGCCTTCATGAAAATGTATGTCTAAGTAAGTGCTAGAAATTAAATAGTAAGGCATATGCTAAGAAAGTAATTATTAAAAATTGTCCTGATTGAGAAAAATTTTAGAGGAAAGGAACATTGGGCAAGAAAATAAACATCTTGGACTCTTTTATTAATAAGCACAATTTAATGTGCTTATTAGTAGTTAAAGGGACTATAAATATTTTAGCACAACTAATTTTTTAGAGGTTGTGATGTAGGTAGGTAAAACAGAGGGAAAGGTAAGGTGCTGAGTTATATTGAGAGCTAAATATTTATCACCACAAGAGTCAAGAGGTAATGTGGTGGGTGTTCACTGCTTTCCATGATAAGAGTGCTTTGCCTGGGACCAAAATTAATGTGAGAACAGTCTGACTGTTTGCCAGCACTTTGCAACATGCCTTTTGTTTGCTCCCTTTGCCCAGAAGTAATTATGTGAATAAACATCTTTTCAGTGCTGGAAGATAACTGCTTGTAGCCACTAACTGATAGGGGATTTAGTGGCCCCAGCACAGGACTGCAAGGTCAGCCCTGGTCAGCCGGTCGGCAGCGGAGTCTGTGCTCTCGGCGGCACTTACTGCCCCAAAATAATGTTCATTAATCAGCCGAGAGAAGTCCCAGGGGAAGTTACCAAGCCAGAAGCGGATGTTTCTTCAGCTAAAAGCAGCGTGCAGTACTGGTGAGGAATTGCTGCTAGCAGGCAGGTTGGGATCAAATTAGTAAGTGAATGAAGAGAGCAGAACTCGGGACGAGAGAGTTAAACTTCGTCTGTTGGTCTGCCCGTCTGTTTGCAGATAACCTCGAGGGGCCTTTTCCCTTGCTGTTGCTCAATTCGATCAGACATTGAGACATACTTGTTTTTTGCAGCTTATCGGGGTGGAAGAGAAACGTTTTATCAGAGAAGTTAAAATGAGCCACAGGGACTAAGACCATGGGGTGGTGTGAGAGAGCGGGGCAGGCGCGGGCACGGCCGAGAGGCACGAGTTTTCTGCATTGGCTTGATTTTCTTTTCCAGTGCTGTTTTGGGCTGAGGGGGAATGAGAGGAGCGAGGTGACACAGCAGGCTCACCCCAACTTGTTGGAGAGAGTGCCTCCTTCATTGTCACCATCCTTGTCCTTGTCCTCGTCCTCCTCCTCCTCCTCCTCGTCCTCCTTGTCCTTGTCGCCCTCCTCCCAGTGCTCCTAGGGCTGAGGAGAGAGACAGCTCCATCTGTGGACACCAGTAAGTCGGCACCCAACCATGCAAATGGGAACCCCATCTTGCATTAAGATTTTTTTTTTTTGTACCCTCTAAGGACTGGTGGAGGAATGCTTCAGATTTAAGTCACAACCAAAGGAGTGTTTTCGCTTCCTACCGCCGGTCCCCACGTGTCCGAAAGGCGGCCAGCTGGCTCACCACGATGCGCCTGGCTCACTGCAGCACCACTCTCCCGGCAGCTCCCGGGCCCCGAGGAGCGTCTGCGCGGGACGCGTCGGCCGTTAGGAGCCAGGGGGTTGCCCTGTGCCACGTCGAAAATCTCTCTAGCGAAACTCCTGTCATCAGATTGTCTTTGGAGAGTAGCTTCCATCAGATTATCAGTATCTGCTTGGTTATTTACAATCAATCAATCATCCCTTTTCAGCTAACTCCAAAAGAAAATTGAATTTATTAATCGATATGATTCAGGACTCGCATATTGGTACTCCATTATAGGTTGCTGAACTGAAGGAATGAAGAACATCATGCCTTTAAGCTCCGTTCTTGCCCTCCTCTATGTCCCTCTGCCGATTATGTTATTTCCCGTTCTCTTTAAGCTGGGTTTTCAAAACGAGGCGCTGTGCAACGCTGCAGCGCGTTTGTATGGCTCTCGACTTATGTCCTCTTCTAAAGGGGCACGCTATATGTGCTCGTCCTTCTTTCTTTCTTCTTTTTTTTTCAGACAACTGAAACGTGACAACCCCAACGCTGTAGTTCTTAGTACCGATGACTTCTTTAGCAGAAACGGCGTGTACGTCTTTGAGCACGACTTCCTGGAGGACGCGCACAAATGGAACCAAACGAGAGGTGACTGACGGGCAGCCGGGTTTTCTCAGCGCAGTTTTACCTTCAGTCTGTCCATAAACTTAGCCCCCAAAATAAAGTATCTCAAAGTAGTGGCGTATAATATAGCAACACTCTGGGAAGGTAAATTTGGAGTGCATCATCCACTGACGTTCATGGGTTACTGGTTAAAAAAAGTTATTTACAATGTCGGAATTTATAGCACGAAAGAGCGAAATTCAGAAATGAACAAAGATTCGTGATAGATATCATTTTAGAAAGTAGAGCAGTGAATAGTAGGGAACTGAAGCTTGGTGACAGCAGGTGGCATGCCAGCACCACCAGCCCAGCAGCGGCTCAGTACCGCTCTCGGTTGGCACGTTGCACTTCGGCGTGCAGCTTCTCCGGTGCCGATCCCCGCTCGGAAGTGGGTGCTACGGTGAGCTGCTAGCGATGTCCAGGAGGAAACCTGCAAACTTAATTACAAGTCTGAGAATGAAACAATCCAGGTCTGTATTTCTGAGAGAAAAGCATAACATGCTTCTGCGGCTGCGCGCTGAACTCCCCCGTGGAAACGGCAAACACACGCTGAGATCACGGAGCAGGCATCTTCTGCAGATGACAGTCAGTGATGCCTGTTGTAGCTACCTAGTGCTCGTGGGCCTGTAAGCGTGGTCTGCAGGCATTTCCAATCTTACCGCTGAGCGCAGCCACTGGCTGTGTAATACCCTTTGGGAAAGTGCAGGCTGATTTACTGTCTCGTGCTTGCGTTTGGGCGGTGGGTGAAAACCCACGTCACGGTCGGGAGCCAAGTGCGCTAGGAGCGGGCAGAAAAAAGGACACCGGGGCCTAGTAAAAACTGGATCAGTCTGTTATTTAATATGCTTTAGCTTTACTTAATGTGTTGCTTTACAGCAGACAAAGCAATGAAGAATGGGAAAAGCCTGGTTATTATTGATAATACCAACATCCATGCTTGGGAAATGAAGCCGTATGTGATGATGGTAGGGAACGCTATGATTTATTGCTTTTACATGCTCAGCTATGACATTTAAGAGGCAATCTGATGGAAAGGGTTCTTACCATGGCTAAAAATAATTACTTCCACTTTCCCTTAGTTCTTTAATTATAGTTAATAATCATTGATACTGTGAAGAAGTAAGAAAAGAGATGTCAGTGTCCTTGTTTTGTCTAGTCAGCTGTATAATGGCGCAGAAGCAAAATGACCCCAAAAGATTAAGTCATTGATCTTGCCCTGTAACTTCTTGGCAATCAGGCTCTCATCCCTTTCCCCACTAGCAACATGAATTTAATAGTTGCAAAATTATTAGTTAACAAATATGTCAAAATATGATTTATAGTTTTAGTTTAGGACTTGTAAAAAGTACACAATAAAATGTCTCTGAGGATGCATTTGTATCACTTTTCAGTGATTCTGGCAGGGATGGCATTTATTGGCAATGTTTTTAGTACAGTTTCATAATGTCAGTGCCAACCTCACACTCGTGTACACCTATAGGGTCTTGGGTTATGGTCTTGCCAGTTAAGAAATGTGTAACTAGGTATAGTTTTTATGAAGCCCGAAAGAGGCACATGTTAATAGCAGTGCTGCAAAGCCTAGACTTGTCACTGTGGAGGCAGACATTTTGAATGCTTGTGGGTGACTATATAGCAAGTGAAAAATCTCAGCCAGAGGTGGACAAAATGTAAAAAGGTCAGCAGAGTTCCCTGCCTTCTTTCTGGTACTCTCTAAGTTCCTCAGAGAGCAACCCTCCCATCCCTCAAAAAAAAAAAAATCCAAAAGCAAAAACAGTCAAGTGATTGCATTACATAGCCAGGGGCTATGCTGAGGTTTGCTGGGAACTCAAATCCCTTGATGTAAGAAGACATGAGCTAGCTGGGACTCAGCCCACAGCCTTGGTGGGAGTCGTGGTTATCTCCTTGCTTGTGGCTCCTGGCAGGATGTGACACTTCTCTTCTTGGCCAGCTAAAATCTCAGGGTGGCGCTCACAGTCAGGAAGACCAGCTACCCCTGGACTCAGCAGCCATCCGTCTTCAGCTAAAACTTCTGTGTGCTTCTTCAGGCCCGTGAAAATAGCTATGAAGTTCTATTCCGAGAACCAGATACACCCTGGAAGTTCAATGTTCAAGAACTGGCAAGGTATCTCTTTCTCTCTTTGATTCAGCAGGGAGTTTCTCATTTTATTAATGTGCTCTGGAGAAAGGTTGGCATTCTTCCTCTTTATATATCCTAGAAAATAACCTAGTAGAGGACAACAGAAGAACTGTGGAATAGGCCTGTTACTCAGTACCTGCTCTGCAGTGAGCTCAGCCCCAAAGGAGTCCGACTGATCTGAAGGGAGTCAGTCAAGAGCAGACTAGGAAAGGTACCTGCTTGAAGCATGTATTTATACTGTGAACGTCTAGAGGCAGAGACCCTGTTTTTTGTTCTGTATTTGAGCAGCATTTTCTGTGTTTGGGCGCAAGACATGTCAAGGCACTACAGACAGTAGCCTGATTTCTGTTCTTAAAAAAGCTAACCATAACAAATACTATCTTGCTGTAGCATGGTGGGATGCTACATTGAGCACTTTGAAGAAATGACCTTCTACAGGATCTTAAAACACACATGTAAAGGGATATGATGTGGGTATCAATTCTGCATAATATTGTAGTAAGAGAGGTAACCAAATATGGCTCTAAATAGGCTGCTCGGCTAGTGGATGCAGGGTTAACCATTATGTTACTGCAGAAGCCACGCAGTCAAATTTCCTGGCCTGGAGCCAGCTGGCTGTGAGGTGCATTGCAGCACAGCGTGCACCCCTGCCTATGAGACCCAGCAGCTAGCCTGTGCTAACTTACTTATCTCAAGAAAACAGGGCATGAGTACTTCATTCGGACTGATTTTAGCTTTTGTAGCCACTAGGAGGTCTACTCAAGTATCAGGATTGTTCCTATGTGCTTGGTGGCGACAAATGCCAGAGCTGTGCCCCAGCGGAGCCGTGACACGGCAGCCGATGGCTTGGGGCCAAGGGCTGGCAAGGCTGTCCACAGCTTAGCCTCATGCGGCTGGGCCGACACGTGTAGGGCAGCACTGCAGAGACGGATTTTACCAGTAATCCTTAATTATAGGCCGAACTACTTGGAAACTTGTATTTTGTTTTAGTAATCAGTTGAAACAAGTCAGTGGTTTACAATAGCCTGCAAGCTATTGTAGCAGCAGGCTACAATAAAGCTGACTGAAAGACAGTCAGTTTGGGGCAGCCCTTTGGCAAGTGATTCAGGGACAACTGAAGGTGCTTTCTGGTGCACGAAAGCCTTCAGTCTGTGCTGTGGGTTTCTAGATAACAACCAAACATCCCAATACCTAATTTCCATCAGTATTAGGTTCCCTAGGCACCAAAACCTTTTGCCCCCCAAGCTGATGTGAACAATGTACGTCTCCCACGCGATCACAGCTAACTCTCTCCAGAGCTCTGCTTATGTATCCTGCACACCCTGGTGTGATTTAGGATACCACTCTGACAGCACAGCTCCTTTACCATCTCCACAGCTCAGGTCCAAAGAGGGAAGGAGCAAGGGTTGGTTTGGTGTTACCCGTCTCGTTCCAGGACTGGGTGGCCACACAGCGTCTTTCCTGGCAGTGAAGTGTGTGCTGAGTGCTGCCCCTGGGCACTGACAGGGGCACTTACTGCTGGAGGGAGTTGCGGCCACATTGCAAGTAGGGTGCTCATCCTGCTGCATGACTGGCTCCTTAATGCTGCCAGGAAAAAAAGGGTTTTTTTGAGTGCTCCAGGGAGCACCTGCTGCAAGACTGCAAAAATACAGATGCAGGACAAACTTGCACCAGGGCCAGAAAGACTCCATCCTGCATGCTAAATTACTAATGGTGCTTGACAGAGCTAAATGGCAAAAAAAAAACCCCAAGGCTATGCAGCATCTGCAAAAACTTTTTTTTTTTTTTTTGGAAAAACAATTCACATTAAAGCATTGAGCATCTGCAGCTGTTTCTGGTTTCTCCGGCAAGCCCTGCATGTTTGAGCACCCTGTTACCCTCCCTCTCAGCCGCTCCCAGTGCATGAGCACGGGCAGCCTCTGTGGCAAACCCAAATTCCAGCACATGCACCTTCCCACCACCTTCTCCTCTCCCCCCGCTTCCCAAGTCCCTATGTTTGGCCAGCAGCCGCCGTTGGCAGTTCAGGCCAGCGAGCACCTTGGGCTGAGTTTCCCCACTCAGCTACCGCCACAGCAGGGTCTGACCCCTGCTCGAGGTGGGACTGGCTGCAGCCTGTGGCTGCCTTTCTGCAGACGTGTAAAAGCTCACCCTGAGCCTGAGGGGCTGTTGCACTAAATAACAATAAAATTCATGTGATATTATACTCAGGTCTGTTACACAGTGCTTTGCTAGCTGGCCCATGTTTCAAACCATTCAGCTATCATCTCACGGCCTGGCTGCTCACCAAAATCTTTGGGTGATGTTTTTCAGCAAAGTCACCAAAAATAATTTTGAAACGTAGGTGGCAATGAACAATGGCAAAACGGGGCTAGAAATGTCGCTGGGGCTAAGGACTGATGTCCTGAACACAGCAGGAACCTTAGCACGCTTAAGATAACCTGTAATATATGGACAACTAAATATCTGTATTTTCTATTAACGTTGCTTCTGTAGAAGAAATATTCATGATGTCCCTCAACAAAAGATACAGCGGATGAAAGAACAATACGAGCATGGCGTTACCTTCCACAGTGTTCTTCGGTCTGAAAAGCCGAGGGGAGCTGAGAGGAGCACCGGGGGTCCCCAGCGCGCCCCCCCAGCAGCCCTCTCAGGCAGGCGACCGCGCGTGCCACGTGCAAACACTGCGCCAGTTAACTAAGGGGTAGGGTCCACCACGTGTTTTAATTGTCAGGGTATAAATATCTTGATTTTTACATTTTTCTAAATTATGTCTTATTCTTGTATTTTTCTACTGTATTTCTAAATTAGACTTTTGTATCTTACAAGTCTTAAATGTCACTGGACAATAATTTCATGGGTTTGCATGACTGAGCTAAGCTCACTGTACCCAGTACAAACTGTACCCCCTGCTCAATCCTCCTTCCTCTGCTAAAATCCAGTCACGTTTATGGTGAAATGTGCTAGCTGTGCTCATCACTCTTTTTTTCCCACCTAGCTATCTGTCACTAACAGATAATACTAGATATTCCCAAATTCTTTCATTACAGGCTGCATGGCCAAGCACCTCTCCGCGCAGCTGTCCTTTCTTGACATTTTGCTACCTTTTCTCTGGCTGCGTGGCCCTTTGTCTCTTCCCACTCCAGCTTGTCCAGAGCGTTGCTACTAGCTTTAAGAGAGGCAAAGTAAATCATAAAAAGAAAAAAAAGTGAGCTCTAAAAGACCATAACAAGGTTTAACACTGTTCCCTGTCTACATCTCTGCTTGGGCTGGCAGAAGAGGCTGAGTTCAGCCAAGCCCAACACAAGGCCACATATGAAGGCTCTTTAAAGGAGCTGTTAGTGCTAGTCTAGCGCTCGCTAATCTGGCAAGTAAGACAGAAAACAGCTCTAAATAGTTGAAACACAAGTCTATGAGATACCTGAAATAACCTAAAGTACAAATTCTATTGCAGAAAATAATTACGTAAGAAAGGAGGAAAAAAAATGTATATGTAGGGGGAGAAATCAGCTCCTTTCATGACTAAATGAAGAGAACCCACACATCGATGGATGAATGAGATAGTGCAAGATAACTACTTTAATTTTCTTTTCTTTAATTTCCTAATGAGGAAGCCTCAGGAAGCAACTTTTAAAACACAGCATTTGCAATGGCAAATTTTTAAAGTAGATGTGAAATATAAGACAGCAGTTGTAGAAAGGGATGGATGGTAGTGCTTTATTTTGCAGTAGGAAACGAAGATGGCTAGCACTAGACACTGAGAAGAATAGGCATAGCTGTAACTCATTAGCAGTTTAGTGGACAGAGAAGACATGAGGCATAAAGAAGTATCATGCTGTTACTGTACCAAAGCAAAGCTGCCTATAGGACTCTGTAAAGTAGTGGATATATGGGATAAATTTTTTACTGAAGCAGCATTTAAAGTAGTAGTGTCTTAAAGGGTCTTCATCATAAATAACTGTGAACCAGGGGGCCTAGGGACCCTAGCCCTGCAGCACTGCACCAGGGTTTACAGAAACATCAGCAGTTGCGCGGTGAAGCCACTTTTCCCTCGTTACAGTTCTCTGATCCCACTACAACGCTGAGCCATCCCCAGGTCCCCCCCCCCGGCCCCAGCTGGCCTCCCATGGGAGCATCAGCCTTTGGCAGGGGCCTGGTGGGAGGCAGCGGGACAGGGCAGGCTGACAGCGAAATCCCAGTGGAGGCTGCAGCTCCACTGCAGGGCAGCTTCTCTCGCTACCAGAGAAATTCCAGTTCTGAGAAGTCTCACTTGTTGAGCTTAATGAGAACAAAGTAATGAATAAAAACACTCAGTACTGCGCTTGAATATTTTCCTGGCAGACAGAACTCGTAAGTGATGAAATTAAAGTAAGATCATTCTTTCCATAATGTTGTGGCTCAAAGTGGTACCTTGAATTACGAATGAGTAGTTTAGAAACGCTGCCAAAGGATCAACCTGTTAATCAATTTACATGTCATTTTGCTATCAATCAAACCTTCACAGTTATAGCTGTTTTCTAAAACTTTTAGCAGTATGAGACGTACGAGGGGAAAAAACCATGGAGAGAACCATAGTGAAATTAAAGAGCAATATTCCAGAATTAAAGTGTTACGTTCTGGTTATAATGGAATTAGGGAATTGCTTTCACCTATTTTCCACTATGCTAATCCAATAGATGTTTGGCTGTCAGAAGTAAATACAGAGCACAACCATTCTCACAGAGGGTAACAAAACGGTTTTAGATAGAAACAAAAGCTTGTGCTGTAATTTAGGAATACATCAGAATCAAAGCAATGGCTTATAAAGTGTCATTAGAACTCCAGCCACGCTGACGTCTGTTGTATCATACATAGCTGTCTGGGAAATGTATAATTATTCAACTCCAATTTATTATATTTTGCAGATGTAATACCACTTAGTCTTTGCTTTTGCAATATATCTTTATTAAATACAATCAGGATTTAATGTACAAAGTGTAAAAATCATTTAAATGTGAAATATATACAACACTGTACATAGGCCTCTAGTAGCATTTTTGGTTTTTTTGTCTCTGTAGCTTTCTGAGGTCTGTTAATGAGCCCTCAGCGTCCTTTGTGTCCTGAAAAGCCTCAGCTCATTCAGCACAGCTTTGAGGAGTTATTTGCTTCCCCAGCAGATTTAGAACTATTTTTTCGTGAAAGATCATCAGAAAAATCAGTAGCTATTGTACTGCTAGTTTCATTTACACAATCAATCTTCTTTTCTTCTGGTAAAGTATTTATGAGTGCTTGTGTATTAATCATCGCAAGTTCTTCATCCGCAACCAGATCATTCTCAGGAAGATGGACAGTCTCTCTCAATTTTCTACACGAGGTGACATGACTGATATTCCAATTTATTTCTTTTGGTGACTTGCTAGGCTGAAAACCCAAACTTCGCGGAGGCTGAAATGCCTTTTTTAAAGATGGAGAAACAGTTGAACAGATGGGTGTCAATGGTGGAGGGGCAGGTATGCGGCTGAGCAAGTCCACAGCTTTTCTCTTTTTGCTGTTTTTGGGATGGTCTTCATTAGTAGTAGCAGATGAAGATATTTTTGCTGAGCCTTGTGGGATAAGTTTCAAATTTGGTATGCTATTTGACAAAGGGCTATGATACTTTACTTCAATATTAGAAGAAGAGATCTGTTTAAAAAAATAAGTAAATAAAATAATTTAAATAAAGCATGTTAAATAAAGCATGCACAAGGAAGTTGCTACACTGCAAGTCATTCAAACCCATGCTTAACTTCAATATATCTTTAAAGTCTCATTTATTTTAATTTGAGTAATATATTTTATAAAATGATATATACCACTAATCCTTCAGAATTAAATATTAGAACTATGTTTGAAAATAGAAAATGATTCCTTACAGACTTTTTAAATTTAGTTTCCAGGAATTAGTCTTACATCAGGGTGCTTCCACCTCCCTAGCAACTAGTGGCAGCACAAAATTTTGTTGTGACTGCACTCAGTCCTACACTTCCAGAACAACTTACTACCAGCAACCTTCAGGGAAAAGAGAGTACTATTTAACCCCAAAAATTTATGTCAAGACTGCTCCAAATGTAAACAAGTGAACTACAACTTAACTATATCTAGAAAAAAGGACCAGGAGATATATTCTCTAAACAAGGGCAGGACTCGCAGAGTGTCCTGGAAGAAAAACAAAATACTGATGAAGAATTTTCCTCCTTGTGACATCCATATGTCGGATAGTCTTCACAATGGGACCTAGAAAGCAGCAAGTGATCCCTAAGGGAAAAGAAGATTCGATTTACTCATATAAAATCAGAAAGGACGTTAAGTACCACTGGAACACTTCTATAATTTACCGAAAAATGCATAAGGTTGTTGACTTTAGTGGACTAAGAGGTGACTAAGACGCAACAAATCTCTAGCTACAGTTTTTGTGGAAATTTTGAGGAAAAAAACCCAACCAGTATAGATCATCAGTATAAAATTTGCTTATATGATAAGTAATGTCTGTATAAAACCAATATTAGCTATAAGAAGCTTACCAAACTTTTATGCCCTGCAAAAAGGCCTGAGTTGCAGGAAGGGGAAAGGCACTCCAAGCCATATCTTTTAGGTAAGTTGGGTGTAAATGGGCCATTCCTTTGGAGCAAATTCATCAATTTGCTTTCAGCATCAGAACAAAAAGAATCCACATTCTACAAAGAAGAACAGATTACAATGCAGTAACAGTTGTTTTTAAAATTACAAAAGTATTACATGCTTGCAAACAAAGTATTTGGGACTAAACTTTCTCACTATGATCCTGCTAGAAGTTTATTTTATGGTTAGCCAACAATTTAGAAGATGGCCACACCTTCTGTGGGGAGCAAGATACCCTCCCCCCCCATCATAGCTTCCTGATAGTATTTACAAGAAATGCCTGCTTCTGTACTTAAACCTGTTTTTCAGTAAGAAGTGAGAATGCATGACCAGATCCCACTATTTAACACAGCTACAAATTTTTTTTTTTTTTTTTTTAAAACAGTCAGCTGGTTAATGACTGTGTTCAGCTGAGCAAGATAGTAAACTTTAAAAAGGCTAGAGCAAAAGCGTCCACGGCAGATTCCCCCACTGACAGCTCCACTATTTTTGTTAGCCAGGGAAGATTCTGTGGCACATCTCAAGAACAGTACTGTTGAGTTGAAGGGGGGGTGGGGGGAAGCAGAGACATTTGATAGGAGATATGGAAAGTCCTCCAGGAAGAGTATATGTAACATCTTACTCCATCTCCCACAAAACCCCCCCAAAATTCAACGTTACATGCATTACATACTCTAAGAGTTATTAATACTAACGGATTCTTTGGTGAAGAATACAACACAGCAATAACTAAAATTAACTGCTGAACTGAAAATCCACAGGTTTACCTCTATCGTACTTCTCAGTTCATTAAATCTCTCTTGAAGATAGTTTTCCTTTGGACTGCCAGAGAATATAGACAGATCTCCAGCCGAGAGCACAGGAATTTCTGATCTGAATTCAGATTGCCACTGAAGGTTGCTTGCAGAAATGAACGAACAGCGGACAACTATATCTTCAATAGCAAGGTGTCTAAGATCTGTCCAGATCTTTACTGCTGCTAGATTATAGTTTTCATCAGATAAGTACACCAAACTAGTGAAACCTAAAAATAAGAAAAAATTTGAATTAAACTGTAAATCTTTAAATAAAGGTTGATTGCTGTGAGTTGTATTTATAAAAAGAAACCACACATCTTGAAAGAGTTCTAATTGATAAATACAACAGTGCAGCCTATCTGCATGGTAACAGATGTGTGATACTTCATTTGTACTCTATACTAGCTCCCTACTGACTGAAACACAGACTTTGAATTGGTCTCTGTAAACAACAGTATTCGTAGGGTGCTTTCCTTTTTTATCCAAAAGATTATCAGCCTGTCTCTGCCTGTGAGCTTCAATGGCTATGCTCCCCTGGTTCCAAGATACTGTACACAAAAGAGGAGCTCACATGCATGCAAGACAACTTCTGCAATGCCTAAAGTAAAAGTGTCTCGAGCTTGGATTTTCCCATTCTGAAGTAGTTCCTGAACAAATAAGAGAAGACATATTTTCTTTAGAGAAATCAAAAAATATCTGCCAGCATGCCACGGTGACGGGCTGTATTTGCAGGTTTTGACAGACCTGCTGAA